CTTTCTAATATTGTATTTTTACATTATAAAGCACCTTGAGGTGACTGTTGTTGTGATTTTAATCTAATATATATATACACACATATATATATATACATAAGTAAACTAATGATAATTAGCGTAATAACATGAATGCATAAAAAGCACAGATAAGTACGGATTTGCTAATAAGTAGTGAACGTTTTGGCCAAATATGCTCTTGAGAATGCCTTTAACCAGTGAGATTTGCACCACTTTTCTGTTAATTTTTTCCGTTGTTTTGTTGGCAGTTTTGTTTGTCACTCCGATTCAGAAAAGACAGATCGCAGGTGATGGTGAAACTCAAAGGGGATCACAGGAAGAACACGAGGGAAGTCACAAAACACAAAACAACAAAAAGAACTTGTACAAAACACAATATCAAGAGAAAAACGAAACAAAATACATAATACAGCAAAATATAATTAAAATTAACATAAATCAACTCAATCCACACACATACACCTCGAAACAATAAAGCATTCAAATAAATACTTCTTTTTTTTTTACCAAACTGCTGGATAACACATCACAGTAATACAGATGCACAGAGCATGTTAGAAACACAGAACAGAACAAAAAAACACCTCATATACATATATAGAGGAAAAGAGTGTGGAGAAGAAGAGAGACAGAGGAACAGAGAGACAGAAGCCAATATAAACTCCTTGAAGAAGGTCTGGAGGAGTGATTTGGAGTGAGCAATCAGAGGGGGGTGATTGACCGTTTGACCTTAGTGAGCCATGCATACGGCACTGGGTGCGTAGGAAGTCAAATGGCCAACAATCCAACAAAAGAATCTGAGAAGCTAAGAAAATAAGTTGGCAAAAACACCTTATGCATATATCTACAAAATAAATCACAAATAAAGCACACAAGAATGATTTTTAGTCAGCATGGAGGAAATCCCTCTTTAAAAACAAGTGGAGAGCAGGGACTATCATAACTGTTATAAACCCAGTGCTTTTTGTTCATTTAATTGATATTCAAAACTTCTGATTCACAAATTTAACAGATTAGTCAGATAAGTTTGAATGCTCCTATATAACTATCTTTTTTCCCCCCAATAGGAAAAAGGTAGGCATCACCTTGGCCAGGTCATTTGTCTAACACGGGGCTTATAGACATGGAATCTTGTTATCAGATACTAGAGACTCAAGTGTCAGAGAAAGTAAGAAACAGATCAAATTGATTTGGTATTTACTGTAAGCACTTAGTACAGTCTCTTCCCCCAGTGCACAAGGCTCAACATTAAAATACACACTAAAACAATAAAGACTTTTATACATCGCTTACCTACAAATTACAAGCTCTACGCAGCATCCTAATAACCCAAGCACTTGTTTTGCTCAATGGACTCCTGATTTGTTTTAAAGAGGGATCTTTGTAGCACCTAGATTTTATATTACATATAGAAAACCATTAAAAACTGCAGCGATGTCAGCAACCTCTAACTGAAAGGCTCGGACAGCTCGAGGCTCGCTTACCTTAAACAGCATGAAGCCGCTTTTTCGGTCAACTCTGTCATAGCATTTGTCTTTCTGTCTGGCCGGTAAGTGTTTCAGTCACCAAGTGCAGCTTATGTTCCTTCTGATTTTTCCACAGTACTCATACAAAAGGTCCTAATCTTTGGACTACACTAGGCACTGAAAGCACAGTTATACGGTCAGGGGATAGTATTTCAGATCCATTACACGCTTATTTTGTAAATTAGCACTCTGGTATTATAACTGATTTGTAGGTCAATTTTTTTGTTTGTTTGTTTTTTGATTAATGCATTCTTTAAAACGTTTGCTAGTGTTAAGCATGCCATGTTTCACGAAGTGATATCCCCTGACACAGATGGCTCCAGTGACCCCAGTTACCTTGGGCCTTGGAAAGGTGATATCCAGCACTGCAATCACAATGTGTTAAAGTATCAGTGCAGACCAGCTGATTAGAAATGGTGCATATGTACATGTAATTTTGCAAATCCTTGTGGCCACATCACGGCGTAGCAGGGACAAATGCCACTGTTAGTGCATACAACCAGTGCGAGAGTACATGTACATATTATATATACAGGTGTAAATAGAAAGGTGTTGTTTATAGTCAAACATTGTTTTTTTAAATTGCAGTGTGCACTTCTGTTTGCCAAGGTGGAGGTCCGTGGGGTAGGGAGTAAAACACAATAGGAAGGGAAAAAACTAAATTAAGCCACACACGACAAACACAAACACAACACTCAGACGGCATTGAGAGGACAGAGACACAGTGTATAACAGGTAAGAATGAAAAAAGCGCACATACACACGCGTGATATGACACAACCTGAAGAGAGAGACAACAACAACACAGAGGCACATCAGACAACAACATGACCCGCTGTTCCCATTGGTTCTTCTTCAGTGTCTTGCTTTATTAGTTATTGACACAGGACACAACAACGGGGTTATTTTTCATTTGAGCTTCTGGGTGTGTTTTGCACATGTGCATACCCGCATGGATGCGCTCTTGCACTTTTTAAGCTCTCACACAGACAAACAAGTAATTACTGAGTGTATATCACAGCGAAATTTTCACATTTTCTCTCCAGATTTTTTCTTTTCTTTTCTTTTTTATTACATCTTGTACAGTGTTCATTGAGATTGTCATTCACAAAGTTATAATAATAAGTACAACATTGGGCTGAGGTTAGGACTCATTGTATGAAATACCTCAGAAATCACAAGGTGAGCCCCGAAATACCCTTTGCAACCCAAACCTTAACATTCACACTGAAGTGCTACCTAACCTGAGCTCAAATGTTTGCATCATTTCACGCGTTCAGGCACAGATAAGTCTTCTTACAGGTGACACAAAGGACAAACTCCATTGAACATTTAGACACAACACTGTGAAAACATTTGGTGTATCTGCATATCTTTTGAGGTCATGCGTAGCATGTGCAGCTGCATCTGTGTTAAAGTGGGCACTACACTTCTGTTTGTGCAATTAAAAAACATCCTACCTCTAGGACAGCCAGATTAAAACTTTCTGGATGTTTCCAGGATACAAGCTCCTTTATTAAAAAATTTTTGTTTTTTTTTTAGTGTTACCTCTGGTCTATGGTTTGATCCAGGAAGATGTGGAGTTTGCATTGAGGTCCTGCTGTAACAGAGACCCCTCCATCTTATACCAATCCTCAGTCAGAGGGGAGTCTGGGCTGGGTGCCAGGGCTGCTGCCTCTAGTTTGTTGTCAACAGGGGGGTGTCGAAAGTTTGGAGGGAGTGTGGGGGAGTGTTTCAGTGCAGGTTGGTGGCAGTGGTGGTAGTTGGATTGCAGTAGTAAATGAGGTGTTGGGTTTTCATGAGCATGAAGATAATGGACATGGGGCAACGAAAAGGGAAGGCGTTATGGTGGAGCACAAAGGAAAAGAAGGGGTGAAATGAGGGCGTGGGTTTCAAAAGGGAAAGAGCGGGGACGGGAGGGTAGATGTGGGGCAAGTTTGGGAGGGTAAGTGGTCAAGGGGTTGAGGGAAAAGTAAATAAAAAGGACAACACAAGGCAGGAGAGAGAGAAAGAGAGAAACAGACAGGGAGAAACAGACAGGGAGAAACAGAAGTGACGAGAAGTAAATTAATGCATGGTCAACTGTCTGAGTCCAGAAGACAGAGAAAGAGATCGTTTTTGAGCATGAATAAATGTGACATTATGGGACACAGAACAAAGTTCACAGACACCGTGGAAAGATGGAAGATATGAATGGCTGAGGCATTGTGAAGAAAAAGGAAAAGGAGAGAGGTAGAGGGACAGAGATTCTTGTCCGACAGAAGAAATAAAATGTGATACCAAGCGGTGATGGAAACACAGACAACATGAATGTGAAGAGATGGAAACAAACAGAGCAGAGCAGAAGAACTTGGTGTGTATGCATGTGTGGTAAATGCACGACTGTAGATGTGTGGATGTTTTGTTGCTAGCTGTGACTGAAGTCTCCTAACTCAGTTTATAGTGTGCTGTCCCATCCAGCGCATCTTTCCTGCATGTTTGAATGTGACATTCAAAACGTATAAGGACCTATATGTAGTTTATCTGCATTGGCTGCCTCTGCACTTATATAATATATAATGTATGTTTACATCATACTGTGCCAAACATCTTGCTGTGTGGATCTGTTTACATAAGATGTGCATGTTTTGCATATCCGTCTCCTGGTGTGAAACATACCTTTCCGCACATTCCCATCTGTGGCACGGAATTCCCTGGTATTAAGAAGGAAGCAGGCTCTGTCCTGCTGGTAGCGTTCCCGAGTGGGGCCTCGCCCAATAGGACTCCTCTCATCCGGGCTCAGCACCTGGTCGATGGTGGGGCAGTCCTCATTAGCCAAGGCGGCTGAGGCTGCGTCACCATTCTGCTTAGAATCTAGTTGAGGCAAAGGAAAGTGAAAAACACCCAAAGAAGAATCATTGTGCTACAAAATTAAACATCTTGTTTAACTCAAAAAACAATTTCATATCTAATTCCTCTTTTCCACCTACTCAGCTGTACTTGACTCGACTTGGCTCTGGTTAAGAACAAACCAGTGTTGGTTTGTTTGTAACCATTTCTCTTGTTCAAAATTTGCTCTGTTTGATTTTTGTGAAGGAGTCGCTCTCATGACCCAGCCTGAGCCGTCACTACCTGGCCAATCAGTGGAACGCAGGCTGTCGACGTCACATTTTAAGCTTGATGAAGCTCGCTTGGAACCCTGGCTAACAAAGTACTTGGTACCAGATAATACTACCTAATGGAAAACCCTAAAAACCGAGTAGAGTCCAATCGAAAGAGAGGCTTTAATGTTGGCAGATGGCTTTCCTTCCCTAAACGTGGTTCTGCCAGAGGTTTCTTCTTGTTAAAAAAAGGTTTTTCCTTCCCACTGCCACCAAGTGTTTGCTCATAAGGGGTCATCTGATTGTTGGGGTCATTTCTAACATTATAGGGTCTTTATGTTACAATATATCTGGCATTAATAAAATTCAATTAATGTTTCCTACTCTAATGTAGGAAAATAAAGCATGTTCTGGTCAATCCTTCTGTTTGTAAGGGGAAGCCAACCAGAAGAAAATGTCTTGTTCTACGCAGTGAATGAGCTGAGGGCCTCACCAAGATTAATATGAATGATATGGAACTATGAGTCATGCAAAGACATGTTAGTAGACAAGCTTTGCATATAATGAAATTTTTACTTGATTGTACTTTCCGAGTCTGGAGTCTGCTATCAAAAGTTTGACTGATAGAACTTGCTAATAAAAACAAGGAAAAAAGAAAAAAAAGAAGAAAGAAAAGACACCGCCCACAAATACCTGGAAAAAAGCCAAGCAGACAAGATGTAGTAAAAGCACTGAAGAAATGTTTTCTGACTCACTAATGATCAGGCCATTGGAGTAATGCATTTAAGGTGCATTATTGTGGCATATGACTGACGCCTGATGCTGCAGCATGTAAAAAGCGCGCCAAGAGCCACATTACCTCGTCTCCTGATTTCACTGTTAATGCCAGAGAGATAATATGTGGGCTGACTTTCCTCAATTTGGGAAGTCAGCTCAAAGTTGAGATGCATTAAGCTGTTTTAAAAGATAATTGAGGTCATTTTCCTTCCATAATGTTTGTTTTTTCCCCCCTGACAGATGGAGGCCTTAAGGCAACGGTGAACCTACCAGTTGATCATAAATTACATATGAGTTGTGATGGGCCAGCAATTTCTCCAGGGTGGCTCAAGAATCAGCTATGCATCTCTTCTTGATAGTACTTCCACTTCTTTCTCTTGACACTTTGGTACTCAGTTAATTCTCAGTTAAAAGTCTAAAATCCTTTTGTACGCTTCAAACTACCATGAGCAAACTGTCATATTGATTACAATCATGCAAGTTCGTTTTAGATTGCTTAAAGTGGTAAACAACATAGTGAAACTTGAATTTTATCTTGAACATACACAATTTATTCATTTCTATATTTTCAACAGTAAAACAGATTGCATATGTTCTCATGATAAACATAAGCAGCATTAAAAAACAACAACAAACACTCACCTCTGTTGATCTCTATAATTTCTTCTTGGGCAAGAGGACAGTCACCTCCTATTCCTCCAGACCCCATCACTCCTCCTAAGACATTTCCCAAGATTCTTTGTGGTGATGCAGTAGCCATCGCCAAGGCATCTGGCTTGCAGTAGTTGGGGGACCCTGGTTGTGGCGCTCGGGGGATATGTTTGTTCTTCTTTTTGGGAAGCTTTTGTTTGGCCATAGCCAGAGAGTAGTACATGCCGAAGTTGTTGACAATGACAGGTACAGGCATAGCAATGGTTAGCACACCAGCCAAGGCACACAGCGCACCCACCAGCATCCCTGACCATGTCTCCGGGTACATATCTCCATAACCCAGCGTGGTCATGGTCACAACGGCCCACCAAAATCCAATGGGGATGTTCTTGAAGTTGGTATGGGCACTGGCTGTTGGGTCATCTGGGTCTGCACCAATTCGTTCAGCATAGTAGATCATAGTGGCAAAGATGAGGACACCAAGAGCTAAGAAGATGATGAGCAGGAGGAATTCATTGGTACTGGCACGCAGGGTGTGGCCAAGGACACGGAGACCTACAAAGTGGCGAGTCAGCTTGAAGATTCGGAGGATACGAACAAATCGGACGACACGCAGGAACCCCAGGACATCCTTGGCAGCTTTGGAGGACAGCCCACTCAGACCAACCTCCAGATAGAAGGGCAGGATGGCAACAAAATCGATGATGTTGAGGGTGCTTTTGAAGAATTCAAACTTGTCAGGGCAGAAGGTGACTCGAAGCAGGACCTCAATGGTGAACCAAATGACACACACACCTTCCACATATGTCAGCCAGCTGTCAGTCACCACCTCGTAAACTATCTCCTCACGAGTCATGTTGCCCACTGTGACGTTCTCTGTCTTGTTGAGGATGGTGTTGAAGGCCTCGTGCGTCTCCATGCAGAACGTGGATATGGAGATGAGGATGAAGAATAGGGAGATAAAAGCCACATACTGAAAAGAATGAAGAAAAGGGTCAATAGAAAGAGTTAATGTAGGAAGAGAAATCAGAGAAAGAGCAAAAGAAAAAAGTCAAATTATGAAAATCCAGCGAGGCAAAGGACATCAGAGAAAATGTCAGCATTTTAACAGTATAAAACCTCAAGCCAACCGCAAAAGTAAATGCATTAATTATTCATTCAATTTAATTACATTAAATTAAATTTAACAACCAGTGAATGTATAACACTTATACCCTTAAATAGTATACTATCAGTTAATACTCAACTCAATATTTAAAAATGTCTTAATATGTCAGTGTGTATCCTACATATTCCAACTAATTACCACATCTTAGCCAGAAAACAAAAAGTGTGCAGAAAGCTATAAAAATATTTCAGAAGCATGTAGTCCACAAATAGAACTTATAATCAGAAGGGATAAAATAAATACCTGAAAATATGTCTGCGATATTACACTCATGTGGAGAAGGAAGTTTTCACAGGACTTTATTCAGCTCTATGCAAAGAAACTAAGAACGCCTTACTTAGTAATTAGCAGCCAGTGCTGATAATCAAATTGACCCAAATAACTGATCATTAGCAAGTGTGAGCACCTCTATAAAACCAGAGGCTTTGGCAGTTTCCCAGTCTAGAGCATTCAAGTGTGTGTTAACACAATGTCACCATCTTCCTAGTTGTGGACATACCAGCAAATTCCCCCCAAAATCCAACTGTGCATGTTAAAGTTTAAAATTCATGAAGGTGCAATGAAAAAAAGACTAATAGGTATGGCTTATTTGAAAGGGTTGATAAGAGAAATACTGTCTAAAAAGAACTTGGCAACATGATTTAGATTTGCAAAGTTGCATCTAAATAAACTACAGACAGACAAGACCAAAGACAGTTTGGTTAAATAGACAGCACCGCGTTTGCAGAAAACCAAACACATCACCAAAAACACTTCATGCCAAGTGTTTTGCAGCCACAGGACCTGGGCAGCTTGCAGCCAGTGAGCCAATCTATGTGCCAAACTATTAAATGTCAAATGCGAGGCCATTTCGTCCATCAGCTAAAACTTGGCTTTACAATGTAACAATGACCCCAAACACAGCAACAAATCTGTTGCAACGTCCCAAAGTCTGGAGCTCAAACTGACTGAAATGATGTGATGAAACCTTAAAAGAGCTGTAAATAAATAAAAGGAAGAGTGGCCAAAATTTCCTCACAGTGACGTGAGAGACATACAGAAAACAATTAATTCAAGTTTTTCCTGATAAAGGTCGCGCTGCAAATTAGCCAAAACAATCACTGGGTGTATTTAGTTAGTTTTTTACAGTACTGTTTGGAATCCCATTGTTATGAAGATTTCATTAACCTCACTGCTCATTTAAATATCATGCAGATGCTTTAAGGTAACATTACCCTTCACACAGTCATATCATTTGGCCTACTTGTGTGTGTTTCTTTAAATTGGATATTTTGACGAGTCTTTTCAATACTTAATACTTGGTGTTCATATTCTTAATGCTATGGTTGCATTTGGCCTATTAAAACTAACAACTCACACTAACTCCCATGCTTTTTTTGTTGATTTATTATGTTGTTATTGTGAACCTCTTGTGAGAAATGTATTGCTTATCTTTCCACAACCTGGGTCCTTTCTATATACTACAATATTTTGCATCCCATGGGTTTGCCTGTTCACTTCAGAAATCTCTGCAGCTTTCCTTGACAGAAAGAAAAACAAGCCAATTTAAACCATCACATTGTCCCGCTTCAGACATCTCTGTTTTCCAGTTTGTTTCTAGCTCATCTGCGTGATCTGCAGTTTACTATATGAAGCCAATCTTTTCCCTTCACTGTAACTTGTTCAGTTGTCAGCGAATCAATGACAGTAGTGTGATGACACCAGTGTGCGAGCGGCTGCTGCACAGTCTTTCCCCATTGTGGTCCATTCCTAAGCCCTGCAGTGTATTTATAGATGCAGTATACTTTGTGCATTACCAAATAAATAATAAAACACAACCATGGCCCGAGGAGCAAAAGAGAAAGGTAATTCATACTTGAGTGGAGTCCATATATATAAGAACCATGAGTGCCCTCAGCATATTGTGAGTGCCAGCCTGTATTTTTGGCATTATGCACTTATGTAATATCAAGAGCAAAATGTTTATAAGAAGAGGCTTTATAACTGGGCAAAAAGAGCAACCAGTGCCACTTATGTTTCTTGAAAGGTCTCCTTCCCCCCCACCATCCCTTTTCTTTGGGTTGGAAATTGGATGAGAGCCTACACATATTTTCTCTAAGTGCCTTCATGACAGAAACAGACTGGGCAGAAGGCTTAATACTGTGAGCGGTTGTATTTATTGAGGACATTAGCCAACGAGCATTTAGCCAAAGACGTGACCTTCCAGGAAAATCAGTAAGTTGGTGTCCATCCTGTAATTCTTTTTTGATTGTTTCAACCATTCGTTGGTTGTAATGTTGTTTTATGTTGTTTAATGTTGGCTCAATGAATCAAGAAAGTGTAATTGCATTTTTTTTTTTTACCAGCTACCTCTTTGCAGCCCAAATACTTTGGTAATGTATATCATTAGATTTGCTCCTGTTTTTCTCTTTTGCTTTGGTCTGTCATTCTTGCAGCATCTGCTGTCCTTTCTGGTCTGTTTTCCGTCCCGCTCTCCTTCTCCTCTACCATCTATGCTCTTTCTTTTTTCCCCTCTCTTTTCCATCTCTACTCTCTACCTCTTTTTTTCCTCTGCTATGTTTCTCACTAGTTGGTGTCTGACCTACTTTCTCAGATTGCTGCAGTACTCTCCTCCTCTGTATCATGAAAGCACACACATACACACACACTGAGGTTCTCAAACACCCTCTACACTCCCCCACCCCCGGTATCAACCCCCACCCTCCCGTCCCAGTGAAGCGGGATAGTACCAGTGGGACCAGCACAGGATGTTCCCTTATTGGCCGAGCACCAGAAAGTCTTCACAAGTACAAATCACAACAACGAAGAGAGTTTCACCCTGAAGTGTTGTGCTCATTTTTTGTTTGTTTTTGTTTCTACTGTTCTTTTTATTCTTTACGACGTCAGACATTACTGATGCAAGGATTATAATAATAGTTAATAACTGAGTAGATGATAAGCATGGGCAACTGTAGAAAGCATGAGGATGCAGAGACTGGGAAAAAAGTGTGAGATCTTGTCTTCAAAGTGAGCTTTTCCATGTTGTCCTTTGCGCATGTACGAGCTAACACATACACAAGAGACTGCAAAAAGAAACTTGCGGCAAAACCATAATAACACTGTATCGTTTATGTAGGTTACACAGGTGGAGACACAGGAGGGGGTGGACAAGTGGGAGGGAGACCAGACGATGCGGATCCATGCGTGGAGAAGCACAAAGGAAAAAGCTGAAGCAGTCCAGAAGCAAGGACATAGAGTAATACGAGCGAGGTGAGAGGGATGGACGAATGCCAAAACGGTTAACAAAACTCAGAGATGTGACCGAGGCAAGATTTGCTCATTGTTCTGATGATGTTAATGTGATGTGACTGTGTGATGAAAAGAAGACTTTTGCAATGACAAGCAAGAGGACAAAAAGTATGACGGAAATGATGGTGAGAGGAAGAGCGAGGAGCCAAAGAAAAAGAAGCAAACCTAACAAGAGACTGAAGGCTAATAATAAATGACAGGCCTTAGCAACTTCTGTCAAACGGAGGGACAGATGGAGCTCTGTGTCTTTTTCCAACATGTTATTCCATACAAGTGATTTCAAAGCTGCTAGGAACTTATGCATAAAGCTAGTTTATATTACTGAATCTCACACAAAGCTGGATTAGGTGAATGACTGAATGTCAAATACGTCCATCTAATCGTTCTAACACAAAAGTGGTAAAATCTACACTACCAGCCACTTCATTAGGTACATATGTTCAGCTATTTGTTAATGTAAATATCTAATGAGCCAATCAAATGGCAGTAAATCAATGCATTTTTTAACCTCCTGAAGTTCAAATCGAGCATCAGAATGAGAAAGAAAGGAGATTTAAGTGACTTTGAACATGGTAAGGTTGTTGGTGCCAGAGAGGCTGTCTGAGCATTTCAGAAACTGTTGATCTACTGAGATTCACTTGCACAACCATCTCGAGGGTTTAAAGAGAATGGTCTGAAAAAGAGAAAACATCCAGTGAGCAGCATCTCTCAAAAATGCCTTGTTGATGCCAGAGGACAGAGGAGAATGATAGGAAGACAACAGTAACTTAAACAACCACTTGTTACAATCAAGGTGTGCAGAAGATTACAGCTGGGCTACAGCTGTGAGCTAAGAACAGGAAACTGAGAATATAATTTGAATATAATTTGAAGGGTCTTACCAAAACTGGTAAGCAGAAGAAACATTTCCTCTGGTCAGATGGGTTTTGAGGTCTGTGACATCGTTCGCGTGGTAGAGTCAGAATGTGGTGTAAGCTGGATCCATCTTGCCTGGTATCAACAGTTCAGGCCAGTAGGCTGGTGTGGTGTTGTGGCAGATATTTTCTTAGCACACTTTGAGTGAGTGTTGTTGCTGCCCATCTCCAGACCTTTATGGAGATGGTTAAAAGTGTACAATGTTCTGATTGCTGCTTCCAGCAAGAAATTGTGCCATGATGCAAACTGGTTTCTTGAACAAGATAGTCACCAGATCTCACTCAGTAGAGCATCTAGATCCTCATTATGGAAATGCAGTCAACAAAACTGCAGCAACTTTGTGATGGTGTCGTATCAATACGTATCAAAATCTGTGAGGAATGTTTTCAGCACCTTGTTGAATCTATGCCATGAAGAATTAAGGCAGTTATGGAGGAAAAAGAGGGTCCAACCCAATACGAAGCAAAGTGTACCTAATAAAGTGTCCAGTGGGTGTTTTAATCTCTTTTCACTTTTGAATTTAGTCTTTATGTTGTTGTTTTTCTCATTCACGTACCTCATATACCTATATATAATATAATTATGTGGGCTCAGACACAGTA